AAAAAAAACATTTAAAAAATAAAATATGTAGATTTCTTAATAGTTTTTCTTTCAGATAACTAGACGTAAAATCGTGGGGATTTTTAGGCTGATTTTTATACAGTAAAAAAAAGTAATTTAATAGTAATTTCTTTTTTTTTTTAAAGAACATGTACATTTATATATATTTATTTTTCTTTATTTTTAATTGAGTTGAATTTATTTATTTATTTATTTTAAACACCGAACATCCATAAAATACCAGTAAATTGTAAATTTTAGTTTTACTCTGTTACAAAACATTAATTTTTGTACGTTTTATTTTTACAGTGCAGCCGTAGTGTTTATGAACTTGTGCATCGTTTGGTTGTATTTTGTTTGTGTTTACCTTCTGTGCTATTAAAGGAGGATTATTACTGGTGTTATAGTTTAATCACATCTTCATTTCTGTTTTAATTTATTTTCTAACATAAGCAAAGAGAGAAAACTCTAGTTTTAAACTTGTTCTTCTATTCGTCCTTTATCCTGCCGTCCAGTAAACATCCAATCATCAGCGCTGTCGGTTTAAAGGTTAACATCCTGTGAACAGGTGAGGAGCTCACCTGTCGTGGCTGCCGCGGCGACGGTGCTGCGTTCGCTGGCTGCGGGAGACGTCCCCACCAGGGGCATCTGGGTCGGCAGGACAGTGTCCTCTGGTGGACACAAAACAGGAAGTGGGTTTATTTATCGCCCCGACAGACGTGTGCGCTGGTGTTGGTGCGTCTGTTACCCGACTGGAAGGAGATCTCGCTGAACATCATCCAGACGTCGGCGAAGTAGAAGCGGCAGCGCAGCGACTTGGCGGTGCGGCGGTTCAGCGGCACGGTGACGTAGCGAGCGCTCGGGTTCCGGTCGTCCAGCACCGTCTTGAACGCCACAGGCTCCGCCTCCCAGCTGGCGCTGAGGCGGGGCTTGAACTGGCAGGACACGGAGGAGAAGATCTTCACGCCGCGCGAGAACATGTTGTTGCTGTGGACCTGGACGGAGAACAGGGGTCAGCAGGGGAGGTTCTGGTGTCAGGGGTTCCTACGGGTCACTGGGCCGTCAGAACCCTCTGACCCATCAGAACCGAGGCCTTCACGTCCAGTGACTGTTAAAGTCCCTGATATCCATTAAAAAGCTCCAAAAACCAGAGGAGCTCCACAATCTGACACAAGCAAAGTCAGAGAGACAACGAGCACAAACAGACACTAAAGACACAAGAAAGTCTACGAAACAGGGAACAAGACATCAAAGCAGCAGAAATGTCCACAAAGACCTGCAAACAGGACCTCAGGGGCATCAGAAACATGCAGATAAACATGCAAATAGACACCAAAGAGACAAAACGTGTCCACAAAAAAGAAAAAGGTCTCAGAAACAATACATCTTATAGATGAAAAAGAAACCAAAAACGTCCACACAGACATGCAGATGGACCCCAAAGACACAAGAAATATTTACAAAACATGCAAAAAGACATTGAAGATGCACAAGAATTCCACAAAGACATGGAAGAGGACCACACAGAAGAAAAACATCCAAAAACAAATGCAGAAAAAAGACCACAAAAACAAAAAAACCTTCCACAAACACAGTAAAGAAGCAAAAGACTTCCACATAGATGAAAAAAACGTTAAACAAAAGCAAAAAGAACAATAAAGATGCAGAATGTGACCAAAAAAACATGCAAAGGGCCAAAAAGACAAGAAATATTCACAACACATGCAAACAGACAAAAAAAGTTCCACCATGACGTGCAAAAGGACTTAAAAATGCAAAAAACGTTCACAAAACGTGCAAACATACACCAAAGATGTAAAAGAATTCCACAAAGACATGAAAGAGGAACACATGGATGAAAAAAGATCCAAAAACAAATGCAAAAGAACCACAGAGACACAAAACCCGACAACAAACTGGTGCCTCTACTCCAGCTTGGTGATCAAACACCTCCTGATCTGCTCGGTGAGCTAAAAGCCGAACCTTCATGGAGGTGAAGTTCCGCTGCCTGTCGAACACGAACTCCATCTCCACGTGTCCCTGGGTTCCCAGCGAGTCGTTCCTCCAGCCCAGGTAGTCGTATCCGGGCCACACATGGTACTGGCGGGTCAGCAGGAAGTCGTCCAGGCCGATGACGCCGTCCGTCAGCTGACCCATGCCGCCGAACAGCCTCCTGTTGGACGAGACGGTCAGTGTGGAGCAGACGGACGAGTGTTACCGTGTTTGTGTGTTTGTGTGTTTGTGCGACTGGCCTCCTCTCGTGGGCGCCGTCGTACGTGGAGTCGTTGAGGCTGGCGATGGGGTAGCCGGGCGGCATCATGAGCTGGCCCTCTGGAGCGCTGTAGGAGATCAGCCCGTCTGCAGGATGGAAAGACAACAGCTAGAGCCTCAACAGGACACGAGTC